GGGGAAGTTAAGCAACACCCCCACAACGCCCTAAATCGGTACTACTTAAGTCGATAAGTTTTTATGCGAGTTGGGTGTATTTTAGTAATAATTTGTAATTTTAGGGGTCCCACTGGACCATTTAATGATTTAATCATATTAGTTGTAATTTAATTATACGCCCACTGACTTAAAAATTTAAAGATAAAGTTAGTTGATTAATTGGACTCGAACCTTATCGGTTGCCTACGTACCCGTAAGACGGGATCAAAGTCCACGTAGTTCGCTGAACTTTGATAGTTTAATTGTGACATTTTCATCACGTTCCACTGATCGTGATTTTCATATTATAATTTATGTTAATAAAATTTAATTTGATTATTATGAAATTATGAAAAGAGAATTTAATAATTTAAGTTATTAGGAAGAGGCTTGACTCGTATTGGAAAAGAAACGAGATAAACTTAATCCGCATTTACCATTTCGTATTAAGAACTATAAACAAATAAACTTAAGCGGAATGGTAAATTCAACATATGATTGTCGGCAGCCCAACTGGTCAAACCGTTAGCCTCCTCTGACCCAGAGACCGCGGGTTTGAAACGAACTGAGTGCAATTTTTTTGATTTTTTCGTTTTAGTGTGGGGATGGGGGAAGGGCATTCTAGTAATTGCTCGAAAACACGGTGGCACGGCCGCGTAATTAACGATAAACCCTAGAGGCATTTTGGTCTTTACAACCATTGGAGTATATAACTCTCTCTAAAGAGAACCCTAGTTCAGCCTTACCAAAAGCGGCGGCCGCTTCTGCTCTCTCTCTCCTTTCGCACTCGACTCCCTTCTTCTCCAGAGAACAAAAAACGACAGCTCCTCTCTCTCTCGTTCCTCCTCTCGCCTTTAGAAACCCAAAAACCCTAGCCGCCGAATACCAAAAGAAAACGACGCCCTTCCCCATCTCGAATCTGCCTCTTCCTCTGCTCTTCACTCCTCCCTCTCGACCGCCGATATCTCTCTTCTCTTCCTCTTGTTTTTCTCTGCCGAATCCCTCTGGGTTTTCTCTAAATCAAAACCCTAACTCTTAATCCTACCTCAATCCTCTTCTCTCGTTACTGGCCGCGAGAAAACAGCTCGGTCCACAACCAATCTCCTAATGGAAGCCCGAATTAGGTAAGGTTTTAACATGCATGTGGTTTTATTTGACGATTTTGTTGGTTTGAATTTGTTTCTGACCTTCGTTTTCTGATTATTTTTTTTTATGGGTTTTGGTTCGGTGAGGAGGAAGAAAAAGGCAGAAGATGAGGAAAGACTCCTCTTTGGAATCAGGCAAAAGGATGACTTTAACCTCCCTATTTCGATCGGAAATAGACGAACTAGGTAAGATTCTTGACATGCAAAATCTTTTCAATTCGTTTTAGGTGATTTATTTGGGATTCGACTTATATTTATTTCATTTTCTTGTGTTTTGGATGTTGGTCGGCGGCGAGATCCTGCCGATGACGATCTTCGTCTCCAAAAAAAAGAAAGGTAGGATTTCGGCTCCTTAATATATGTTAATCTATCATTTTTATTATTAACAAAAATAATTAATTTAGTTCGTTCTTTTTTGTAGGTTTGAGAAATAAATCCAGATCTGGGTAAGGCTCTTCTAACTTCGGTTTTGGTATGACTAGGGATGATTTAACTAAGTAAACGGATTATTATTGTTGATTTGGGATTGATTAGCAGATCTGAGTATTAGAAAGTAAGTTTTGTGAATGAGTTCTGAAGAAAATGGGATTTTGGTGCTTTGATGGGATGATTTTGCTAAAATGATATATTAGAAGTTTTGATATATTAGAAGTTGCTAAAATGATTTTTAATCTAATTAACAAAGACTAAATTGCTTATTTTGGCTATTATAAATCACCGCCACTGCCTGTGATTTTGCGAAATTGGTATGGGTTTCAAACTCTGGAATTTATTGTGCTTGAGTGATTTTTGTTGGATTTGGATCCAGGTTGATCCAAGGACTTGGGAAAAGTTTGTTTGATTGTTATATATAAAAAAAAATATGTGCTATATCTAGTTTTACTTTAATCTGTACATTATGTATGTATGGCTACGAATGAGGAAAATCTAAACATGGCAAAAAGAGTTTAAAACAACTCTCTAGTCATAGTTAAGTTAATCGGTATAATAGTAATCTCATAGCCAAAACTATTAATATGGGAAGGAAAAGAAACTTTGATGATAGAGCTTAATGAGAAAATTGATAAGAGCAGATCTGAGTAAATAATATTTGACCATCACATAGCTTGTATTGGAAAATACTCAAAGAGTATAAATATGCAAATAGATGGATGATTGTATAACGTCATAACGGACTGTATAATTTGACAAAATGAAGTTGATACAAGTACCAACCTGGATCAAGGCCTAAGAATAGCCTTTCCTTACAACGATCTTCAAATCTGCTCCTTCAATTTCACAGTTTCCCCACTGAACTTCGGCCAAGGGCAAGAACAAAAAAGATGATCCCTTTGTAATGTGGATGTTTTTATTTTTTTCCTGTGTTTTTCTTCTCCAAAACCGTCCTCCCTCAACAAAGAGCCACAAGAGCTCATTTATAGCAAACCAAACCGCCACGTGTCGCCATATGATTCGTCCATTTTTTATTTCGACTTTGAAGAGTGTGCCTGGTCGGTTGTGGATAGGATTTGGTTAGACCGATTTGGTTAAGGTCGGTTTATTGGGCTGGTCTCTGGATCGAACCAGTTGGCCAAGTTGGGCCTGTCGAGTTTGGGCCGAGTTGGGTCCGATCTGATTTATGTTTGGGCTTGAAAAGAAACTGGCTTTATACTTCTTGGACTTGAACTACTTTGGTTTGGGCTTAAATTGTGGACCTGGTATATTGGTTTGAGAACTGACTAGTTCTTCTCTTCTGTTGCAGGTCCACGGTTTATAAAGGAGTGGTCTTTTAATTGCATATGTATAATTTGTGACGGTCTACTTAATTACTATCTTTCATTTGTTATCTATGTAATTCTCGATCAAATGTATCATGGAAGAAATAAAATGGCGAAGTATGTTTTTTGTATTTATTGATTTGTTCTTTTCTTCTATGCATTGTAAACCAATGCTCAAATTCAAACCCAAACCTAAAGCGTATTAAGTTTCAAAATAGTACTTATCCTCGTGTCCATTTGAATTGATTCTTGGATTGTATATGAGCGGAAAATGGTAATCGTTGGTTCATATTGACTTGCCACTGCTAGTCTTAACCAAATTATTTCAAACTTCCTTCCCCAACTATCATTGTGATGCTACAATTAGTTGTTTATGTATATATATATATAACTAGCATGAATGTTCCGGACAAAATGTGGTGTCTACAACCAGCCAAGGGATTTCAAAAGACTTGCTGGTATGAATAAGATGTTCCCAAAGAAGCGAATGGAAACGGTACTTAGGGCTACCATAGACTCCAGTTAACAGCCATTGCTTGCTGGGAGAGTCAATCTTGATTGTAATATGTTGTCTGCTGGCATTGATAAGGTCTACCTTAAAATTGGCAGATTTCCATGCCACCCAAATGCCCACAGACTTCCCAACAGCATCCACCCTAACCACTTCGTCAAAACCCAACTTATTGCAAACAACATCAGCTTTATCACCACTAATTTGTGGCTCCAGCAAGATAAAGAAATCCGGTTTGTGGGTGGTGGTAAGGAGTTTGATAGCCCGCAAGAACTTCCGGTTACCTGCACCACACACATTCCAGCTTAGAATTTTAAAATTAGGAAGACTAGACATGATAACAAAAATCAATAATGAAGGAAAACAACAACGCAGGAACAAGAAGGGGCAAGAAGGGTCGGAGAAAGACTAATGAGCAAGCTCGGTCGCTTGTGCTTTCGATCCTTCGGGAACGTTTCCAGCTGCTATAGTAATTTCTCCCACTGTTTCCACCATTGGAGTATCCTTTGGGGTCTCCTAATTCGACTTGTGGGGTTTGTCTCCTTTGATCATAACTTGAGAACAGAAATTCTCTATCTCTTTCATAGTAACCGGGAGATGGGTGTGCTTGGATCGTTGAAGAAAGTCTCGTTGGGTGGAGGTCTGGATTTGAAGCGGCTTCTTGACAGTCCTGAGACTAACTCCCTTCTTCTTTTCTTGCGTCGCTGAAATCTCCGGTTTCCTCTTGGAATAGTGATGTCGAATAGATTTAGCCTCAATGTTGGGATTCTGGTTTTCTTTGGGGGGAAGAGTCAGATCAGGGACGGAGAGAACACGAATCCGCGTTCCATTCTTGTCTTGGTTTAACTTATATACTCTATGCAAATCTGTCCAGAGAAGTATGTTATTTAATATGTGTTGCTGCTGCTATTACAAACCGTAGTCGTTCGGTTTGAGCGAGCAATGCTCTTTCCAAGTATGTTTACATCTGCGGTCCATCATGTATTTTGGTTTCTGAAACTTATGCTCAGTATTCTAACTATCAGTCAGTTGTATGTTTAATTAATTGTTCATAACAAAATCCTCCCCCTGTCCGGCTTTATCTCAGTCGCACCTCTCTTCTCCTGTACGCCAATTTATGTTGCAGCTCGTTCGTTCACAAAAAAGTTTGAGGCTGGTAGACTACGATAAACGGCATGGTTCCGTTGCTGCACCCCATTTACAGTTATGTATCTGCGCACTCAACATGATCCTTAATGTTGATACCATACCACATACATGGCCTTCATCTTTGATGTCTCAGGGTCAACGTATTTGTAACTGCCAAGGGATGACATTGAATTGAATCCCAGTTCGGGCAGTAACAGGAATTGAATCCCAAAAATTCAATTCCAACGGTCGAGTCACTTTCATTGATGAAGAAGAAGATCAAACCGGCATCGTTTCCAGTGGCTAATTCCTTTTCTACACTGCGACACCGTTTTAGTCATCTTTCTACTCCAAGCTAACAGACAAATGTGTTAAGCTAGATTGTCTTCTTCTGTATTTCCCTTGCCTATAAAGGCAGATCATCTCAATGAGAACAACTAAGCTTAGGGTTTCACACCATAACACCACTGTTTTCATGGTATCAGAGCCCTAGGCGCCGCCATGGCTACAAACAACAACGAAAACCAAGATGCTTCTGCATCTGACCCAGTATCAAATACACTCTATCCCATGGAAGATCCTTACTTCCTTCACTGTTCTGAACAACCTGGTTCTCTTCTGGTGGGTGAAAAGCTCGCTGCAATAAACTACAACGACTGGAGCCGCGCAATGTTCAATATCCTCGCAGCAAAGAACAAGCTGGGCTTCCTGAATGGTGCTATTCGTGAAACTGCAGAAACAGATCCCAGAAGAGGAACATGGGTTAGGAACAACATCATGATCCTCAGTTGGATACAACAATCGGTTAAATATGACCGAAAAGATACTCAACAACGAGAAGATACTCAACAGAGTTTGGTGACCGAAAATAGTACAAAGTATCAACAGAAGGGTAGTAAAAGTAAAGGAGCAAGGAGAACACCATAGGACGCTATAGGAAAAAAAAGGGAAAAAAGTGGTTGTCGACCGGACAATGAATGCGTGAAGGAAGATATTTGGGACGTGGTCAAGCACCATCGTGAGTAGAAGTCGTGGGTGTCATCTGTCAAGTCTACCTAGAGAAAGTTTCTAGTGGAAATGTTGGCTCTGAGGTATGGCGAGGAGCTACTCAACTTAGTAGATCAAAGCTAGTACCAAGCATCGATGAAGGAGTTGTGGAAGTAAGGAGGAAACCACAAGGCTATAATGAAAGTTATGGTGAAAAGGGTGGTAGTTGATAAAACGACAAATTCAGGGAGAAAGATAGTTAGGAAGAGCCGGAGACAGAATACGAAGGTCAACAAGGAGGCGTTAAGGTGATTGCCGGTGGAGAATAAGTTGGATCATAGGAAGCCCATCAAGAACTGAGAAGCTCAATGGTACCTTATCGGGCAAGGTACATAAGTGAGAATAGAATATGGGCACCAAGATGACTACATCGAGGACGAGGGACATATAGAACTAGCGAGAAACATTGATAAGAGGAGTCACGAGTAAATAAGTAAGATGGATATGAGTTTAGCGAACCTGCTAGGATACCCTAAAGTGAAAGCAATACCACCTATGAGGGTAAAATGTGGCGATCCCTCGAGTGAGAATTTCTTGGACGGGGAAACGGTATGAGGAATTTCAGGCAAGGTCAAAGAACAATAGAAGAGATCGTACGAGAACTCCCAAGTCAAACGGTGATAAGGAAGTGTTAAGTTAGACGCCATGGGTGAAAAAGTACTCAAAATGGAAGGTCGTGTTTCTGGAAAGAAGTCATAAAATTGATCGCAAGCTAGAGAAAGATGCAAAGGATGCCTCTAATGCATACAGAAAGTCGAAGCAGTAGTATGAGGTTCTAGCACTAAGCAGCAAGTAACGAGAAGGTGACCATTCGATTTATGGTTAATGGATAAGACGAGGCATTAAGGAAGAAAGTAAGAGATGCAAAGTTAAGAGATACAAGGACCTAGGTGATCTATGAGATCAACCCCGGACGAGAGTTATGTTAAAGGAGTTCTACCATCTGACTGAATAGGGGATAAGCCGTCATCAATGACCATGAAGTTGGAGAGGGGCAGTACCTTCTCATATACCGAATAAGGGATATGTATCATTCCGGCATATGTCCAATGTGCAGCCTAGGTGATGTGAGGGGTTAAGAAGCCACAACAACAATGAAGTTGCAGGGAATGGAGAGAAGGATTTTAGGTCACGTTGTATAAGTTAAAGGAAATACAAATCCTCGAAGTGAAAAGGATTAACACAAGCGATGCTTAGGATAATCACAGTGGACGAATTTCGAGGGCGAAATTTCTATAAGCGGGGAGGAAATGTGATACCTCGACTTCGATAGGAACTGTGATACCTCGAATTCGATAGGAAAATGTGATACCTCGGCTTCGATAGGTTCAACATCAAGTACTGGGCCCAAGTGGGAAAATTTTGAAAAGGGCAATGAGTCACTCAAACCTATTCGATGCTACCAAGCTAGATGAGAATATATGTTATGGTCAAGAGTACATATAAGAACTATAATAAGCTATTTAAGACAAGGTAAGGTCACGCCAGTGAAGTTCATATAGGAAGAGTGAAATCTTGAGCTAAAGAAGCATGAGAATGAGGAGTATGGAAGGATGCGCCCGATCAAATTTCTGGGACGAAATTTTTATAAGGGTGGAGGAAATGTTACACCCCGCTCTCCCCAAAAGTCAAAATGACTATTAAACCCTTGGGTCAAGTTCCACCGTATTATCGACGAGGATTAAAAATGAGAATTATCGGTTCAAGCGGTGTCGAATTTCGACATAAAATGAGAAAGTTACGGACATTAATTGAGTTTCGGATTAAACTCACCCTAAACAAAATGTTCGGAAAGTACCCCTGGTGCCCATTAAAACCTAACCTAAACCAAAAGAGCCGAAACATTTGGGGTTCTGATTACTGGCTTCCAGAAAGCTCACAAGTCTCCAACCCTACTCCGCCAACTCCTTTCTTCGCTCAATTGGCGCTACCAAGGAAAAGCTTGTCGGCGAAGTAGGTAAAAAAATTACCAGCTATGGCGAGGGAGGTAGCGACGAGCTACGATTGTCCAGAACTTCCGAGGCTTTCTTCGGCATGAGAAGTCGAGGTATGATTCACGTTTTCCCCCAGTGGAAACAGCTTATTTACCAGTTCAATGCCTCTGGGTTGGTCTCTCAGGTACAGGTTGTTTATGACGACATGTTGTCCTGTGGGGTTTCCCCCGATCTCTTCATTCGCAATATACTAACCCATGCCTGGTGTAAAATGGGTAGTTTGAGTTCAGCTTTAGAGATGCTTAGGAAGGTTGATTTTGAGACCGACACTGTTACGTATAACACCGTGATCAGGGGGTTCTGCAAGCATGGTTGACTCACTTCTACTGTCACTCTAGGAATTGGCCAAGTGAAACCACTTCCTAAAGCGTAGTATAGCGGGTTTGGGTTTTAATGTCAACCCGGGTCCTAGATTTGATGACTACTCGGTGAATTCTTGTTATCTAGCAATGAAACTTTAATGCAAGTCTAAACTAACAAACAAACAAAGCAAGTAAACTGTTGTTTTCAGGTTAAGAGAGGTGATAAACCGTTAATTACACATGTTTTTACCCCTGTTCTTACACCGTTTGAGATGTGATTTCTCGCGTTTTAAGCCAATTTCACGCTAGGTTGTGCTTGTTTGTGATATTTCAGGTCCTAGTACGTGAATGGAGACTCGGGAGCGAGTTTGGGGTCGATTGGACGAAGATCGGGCGCGAGGCAAGTCACAAAGGAGGCCACACGGGCACACCCACAAATCACACGGCCGTGCAACTCATATTTCTGGCCGTGTGAGATTGTGCGAGAGCAAACACGGCCTGCCCTGACAACTCACACGGCCGTGTGACGAAGTGCTCTGGCCGTGTGACTTTTGCCGTGAGCAGACATGGGCAGATGGAAATCAAACACGGCCGTGCCAACTTGGCCGTGTGAGAAGCCTGAAAATCAAACTAAGTGGAACGCAGCGTTTTAACTCAGACGGGCAACTGGGTATACCACACGGCCGTGTGGCCCTGCCCGTGTGAGTCGGGATTTCCTGGTTTTAACCCAATTCCAGGCTGCAAGAGAGAGGATCGGACTTTTTGAGCAAAAACAGAGTTCTAGAGAGAGAAAGGACGAAGAACTCACCCTAGAAGCCATCTTGGAGCTGGGTTCATCAAATCAAGCTTGGAGATCATCCTAGGAGTGGAAATCATCATCCCGGAGCAGATTTTCCTCATCATTATGAGTATGACTACTCCGATTACTGTTTTCTTCTCTCTCTCTATGGAGTAGAACCTCTCTCTCACTTGGGGGTGAAGAACCCTAGTTCTATGTGTTAGGGATTGATTGTAATGACTTGGGATGATATTACTGTTTGATTTTAATCGAATGATGCATGTTTATTGAGTCAATTGAAGTCTGATCAACTTTTCCTGATTCCTGCTGCAATCTGAGATAGATAGAATCTGATTAGGTTGCTAGAGTCTCATCATTCGATAGTAGGAGATTGGCTATACGAGAGTTAGCCAGTTTACTGCTTTGTACTGGAATCCAATTCCAGTAGTGGAGTTCTGTTCTTACTGCTTCAGCTTTCTATCCCGGTGAAGACTAGTCGTCTGCCGGGTAGATAGACTGAGAGGGCTTGGTCAGCTTAAGAGATTCCAAGCTACTGTCGGATCTTCCGTAGTCTAATCAACAGTAAATCAACCCAGGGTAAATTGCAATTGAAACCTAACTAAGGAGCTAGGGGGATTCATTCCCGAGTGACTCTTACCTGCTTGAGAAAACCGTATCAATTTCCTGCTTTATTTCTGCTTTTGCTTTTATACAACAATCACTTACTTTAGTTGGCTAGATAACAGAGAATCACTGAGTAAGCAGTAGATCTAGACCCCGGGTTGATAATATAACTTGCCTGTTACTGCATTCCCGGTCTGCGATTACACTTGGTTGCAGATTGGTGTTGAGTTTTGGCGTGTCAAGTTTTTGGCGTCGTTGCCGGGGAACCTTCTAGGTTATTGGGGAAACGTAAGATTTGTTACTCTAGCTTTTTATTTACTGCATTTTATCTTTTCCACCTGTGTGCCTTCACGGGTTGCTTCTGCTGTTTGTGTGCAGGTAGTGCATGACCCGTAGCCAGTCGGGAGATCTACTACCACTAGACCAGGAGCTTGAACGAACCTGCAGAAACTTCAAGCGGGCTCTAAAGGTGCGACTGGATGCGGAGGAGGCGCTAGCACAGCTACAGATCACTGAAGAAGAGGAGATGGCTAATCCACAGGACCATGCTGTGGTCGATCCCGAGGAGCAGACCATGGGACATTACTGGACCGCTAGGGCTGCAGACATGAGGTCACCCATTCAACACCCTCATGTCCCAGCCAATAATTTTGAGGTGAGCACCTCAGTAATCACCATGCTGCGCGGTTCGGTGATGTTCCGTGGCAAGGAGGGGGAGTGCCCCCGATCACATCTCCGGCGATTCCACGAGCTCATTGATGGAATCAAGATCAATGGGGTACCCGCAGATGCCATCCAGCTGAGGTACTTCCCATTCACTCTGGAGGGGCAGGCCAAGGAGTGGCTAGACACTCGACCTCCAGGCTCCATCACCACGTTCGCCAACCTGGCGGACAAGTTCCTCACCCGCTACCATCCTCCATCCAAGACAGCTGACTTGCAGAAGCAGATCACCCACTTCACCCAGGACGAAGATGAGACCATTAGGGATGCTTGGGAGAGATACACCAGTCTTTTCCTCAGGTGTCCCAATCATGGTTTCAATGATGCATTCAAGGTGGGCACCTTCTATCACGCCCTTTTCCCGGAGGACAAGTAGCTGATTGATTCGGTTTGTGGCGGGAACATGCTGACCAAAACACCGCCATAGCTGAATCAACTTTTTGAGGAGATGGCGGAGAACGGGTACGATTGGGGCACTTCCAGGAGATCGAGACAAGCACCAGGCCGGGGTGTGCATGCTGTGGGCACCCAGTCATCTGATCTGGTGCAGGTGGTATCGAAGCTGGTTTCAGCTATCGATCGTTCTGGTTTGATTGCAGGTACCGGACAGCCGCAGGCGATGCACTGCCAGTGGTGTGAGAGCTCCCATCACACCGTAGAGGACTGCCAGGCGATGAGGGAATCGTCTACTCCCCAGGAGCAGGTGGACTTTATCAGTAATGCCAGGCGCTTCGACCCCTACAGCAACACTTATAACGAGGGGTGGCGCCAACATCCTAACTTTTCCTGGGCTGGGGCAAATCCCAAACTACCAGCTCCCCAGGGACCACCTGGTTTTCAGAGGCCTCCGTACCAGCCCAGACAGGGGCAATTTCAGCAGCCCCAGCAGCCACTCTACCAGCCCAGACAGGGGCCAGTTCCACCACAGTCACAGGTGCGACCATTTCAGCAGACAGGAGCAGCACCTGCAGCTCCAGTACAGAGTGACCCGATATACAGACCCAGCTTGGGAGTGTTGCCCAGGGTGTAGCTCAGAGGACTCCTGGTACCTTGCCTGGTCAGACCATTCCCCATCCACAAGATCAGAATGCCAACTGCAGTGCCATCACAACCAGGAGTGGCAAGGTGACTGCCGATCCGCCTGTTCGGGCAGAGGAGAGAGAGACCCCTGCTTCAGCACTTCCAGCTAATCAGGAAGACATGGAGAAGGAGGTTGAGGTGCCTGCTCCTCAACTGCAACCAGTGGTGAAGGAGTATGTACCCCAGCTTCCCTTTCCTACTCGGTTGCACAAGGACCGACTGGAGACTGAGTTTGCCAAATTCATGGCAATGCTGAAGCAGGTAAACATTAGCATGCCCTTTGTGGAGGCATTATCGAAGATGCCCAAGTATGCCAAATTCATGAAGGATCTCCTCACCAACAAGAGGAAGCTTGGGGAGCTGTCAACGGTGATGCTCAACGAGGAGTGTTCTGCCATCCTGCAGAACAAACTACCAGAGAAGCGAAAAGACCCAGGGAGTTTCACTATCCCTTGCATGATTGGTAGTTTGCATATAGGGAAGTCCTTGGCGGATTTAGGCGCTAGCATAAATGTCATGCCTTATAAACTGTTTAAAAAGCTAGGCCTAGGTGAACCCAGTGATACTAGGATGAGCATCCACCTTGCTGATAGATCTATTGTGCATCCTAGGGGTATAGCAGAAGACTTGATAGTCGCAGTAGGGCCATTTTCATATCCTGTTGATTTTGTGATTTTGGACATAAATGAGGATGTTGATGTGCCATTGATACTGGGTAGACCTTTTCTCGCCACCGCCAAGGCGCTTATTGATGTGAATGATGGAAAACTGATTTTGAGAGCTGGGGGTGAACAAATCACCTTCTCTGTTTCTGATAATATGAAACACCCCCAGCTCCATGATGATCTAGATAACTGTGATGTTGTTGCTGATTTTGAGACCGCACTCGCCATCACGAGTGCGGGTACTGATGATTTCCTTGAGCGTTGTCTTTTGCTAGGGAAACAAGCATCACAGGATGTGCAGCTGGAGGAGCAGCTGGCAGAGCTGGACGAGGCCATGATCGAGGGGCGAGAGATACCATTCAAGCCGATCCCCATCTCGCCCCGGCTCGCTACATCATTGGAGGAGCCACCCGAGTTGGAGCTTAAGCCCCTCCCATCTCACCTGGAGTATGCATTTCTCCGGGAGGGGAATAAGCTCCCGGTCATTATTAGCTCGGATCTGACACCCGAGCAGAAGAGCAGGCTGGTGGCTTTGCTGCAGAAGTATGCCCGGGCCATGGCATGGAAGATCACAGAC